TTGACATGATTTCTGGGGACTAAGGTTTGAATGACTCCTATTGTGGCTTTGACTCTGTAATGTGTGTTTGTACAGTATACTTTGTGAGCAAGTGGGGCTTCTTTCAGGATTTAAAGAATATAACCCAGAAGGTGGCAGACAGTACTATATAATTATTAAAAAAATCTTATTCTTGCTTCCACTGGCATAATAAAACATTAGTATGTTTTTAAAAAGCCTGATCTTGTATAACAATATGATATTATTGGGGGGCAAAATTCATATATAACATCAACCTGAGCTTCGGTGAATCTGCTCTGAGGCTACTCATCTTTTACAACTCTCTTCCTCCACAGGAAAGCTAAGTATGGCTGACAAAGAGCTCATTGCTGTGGCTGTGAGTATTGTAAACCATACTCCCTACTGTGTAACTGCACATAGTGCTTCACATCGGAAGTACTCCAAGAAACCAACTTTAGCAGATCAGGTCAGTCCCCATATCTGCCTTGTTTGTCTCTGGAAAGCATTTTCTTTTCCCTCATTAGGATCTAGTTGTATGAAACATCTGTAAAATTAGAAGAAATGAATAAAATAAATGCATTTGTTTGTTTGCTTGCTTAGTTTGTAGGATGTCAAATCCATTAAGACTCTGGGCAGCAAACATTTTCAGTATGTATGCATGTATTGCCTGCCTAACTCATAATGTATGATTCTTAGCAATGTACATCAGTAAAAACCAGAGCACAAAAAATGGATAAAAACAAGATAAAGCCAAGATAACAAACCACAGTCATATAAATGCACATAACCAAGGTGGGCATAACAAACATTACTCTCCTGGCAGGAAAGTGGATCAGTTAACATGAAAGCTCAGTGCCCAGGAGAAAAGCGACATCTTCATTGCTCTAGGAAAAGCTAATAGAATTGGGGCTGCCAACTATCCAAAGATAGATACAGCAGCAGAGAAGATGCTTCTTCCAGTTCCCATACTGCCCCAGAGACGAGACCTGGAGCATGCTCACCTTGTGTAATCTAGTAGGACAGGCAGAAATAATATGTTGTTGTTAGTTGCGAAGTCATGTCCAAACCATCGCAACTCCATGAACAATGTTCCTCCAGGTCTTCCTGTCCTCTACCATCTTCTGGAGTCCATTTAAGCTCACCCTTACTGCTTCAGTGACTCCATCCAGCCACCTCATTCTCTGTCGTCCCCTTCTTCTATTGCCCTCAATCTTTCCCAGCATTAGGCTCTTCTCCATGAGTCCTTGCTTCTCATTAGGTGGCCAAAGTCCTTGAGTTTCAACTTCAAAATCTGGCCTTCTAAAGAGCAGTCAGGGTTGATCAGAAATAGTCATGCGGTCCTGCTAATAATCCAGCCTTATGTCATGTAGGCTTTATCAGTGATAATCAGCACCTTGAATTGCATCCAGAAACCTACTGAAAGCCAATACAGCTTGTGAAGTTTTGGTGCTCCATGAGTGTACAAGTATGCCCAATATTACCCACTCACTGCAGTCTGGACCTGTTACAGTTTTCAGATGGACTTCAAGAGTAGCCTCATTTAGATTTCATTGCACAAACCCGGCCAGGAAGTGACCACGGTGTGAGTGGATTTCTTGTATTTATATACAATAAGTTCAAAAAAACCCAGAAGAAACAAGTTATGCAAAAAGAAGCTTGCTCTAAAGATAGCAGCTTAAAAGAAAGATGGAAAGATTACTGAAGAAAATAAAACCAAAAAACATTGCGTCTCAAAGTTTGTATTTTGTTTTTATATAGGTGGTTGTGAATTGGAAAATGGCCGATCTAAGTGATCGGGAAGTGGCCATGCTTGAGTTTGCCCTTGCTGTCTGCAGAGCAAATAACATAACAGAAGAGCATTTTCAGAAGCTGGAGGCACATGGATTTGACCGAGAAGATGCCTGGGACATAGGCTCCATTTCAGCCTTTTTTGCCATGGCAAATCGCATAGCTCTCTTCACAGATATGCGTCCCAACCCAGAATACTATAACATGGATAGAGAAGAGGACAAGATCCAATCTTCCAAATAAAGTTTGCTGGTATTTACAAGAATATTGGCTCCTCATTGCTATGGCTAAGTGTGGCTAATGGACATCACCACTTTCTATACATGCAATACTGTACTTTCAAAGAGATTTTCTATTTGGTTGATATAGCACGTCTGGCTTACTTTCTTATACTTAAATATTTTCTATACTTTAGATCAGGGGTCTTCAAACCTGGCCCTTTTATGACTTGTGGACTTCAACTCCCAGAATTTCTCAGCCAGGCAGTGCCTGGCTGAGGAATTCTAGGAGTTGAAGTCCACAAGTCACAAAGGGCCAAGTTTGAAGACCCCTGCTATAAATGATGAACCTACGTATTGAATATTTTGTGTTGATAACACTGGTTAACTCCAATTTATAATTCTTAATGTCCTTTGATGTCCTCTGATATATATATCAACTTACAACCATTCGTTTAATGAATGTTCAGAGTTACAATAGCACTGAAAAAAGTGACCAGTTCTCAGACTTATGACCATTGCAACATGCCCATAGTCATGTGATCACACTTCAGGTGCTTGGCAACCGGCCTGTATTTACAATGGTTGCAGTGTCCTGGAATATTAGGGAGCTTCTGACAATGGGGGAAGCCAGCTTCATGTGATTCACTTAACAAGTGTAGTGGTTCACTTAACCATGGCAAAAAGGTCATAAAATGAGGCATGTAACAATTGCCTTGCTTACCAATAGAAATTTGGGGTTCAGTTGTAAGTCAAGGACTCTCTGTGTAATTCTTCAAAGAATTTTGAACAGTAAGTGCTATTATTGCTATTGTAAGTAATTATTTGAACATAAATAATTTGTTTTTTTTAAAAAAACATTCCTAATAAAGTTCAAAATCACAATATTTTTGCTTTGAATTTAGAAATGGTATTGAAATTTTGTTTGTCACATGTTTTTCTAGTTGTGGATGTTTATAATACCTTTAGGAACTTATTTTTTATAGTTTGCTTACAAATCTTTAATTTCTGTATCTGTTTTATGTTTTTTCTTTTTAATTATGTTGTAACACATTGTTCGCCACACAATGAATTAATAATGTTAATAAATCAATTCTATCCTAATATATTGTTTTCCATATTAACTTCCCTTCTAAAGAATTACTTATCTCATGCACGTATAACTTAATCCTCATACAAGCAGATGTTTTAATACTCTATTAAATATTTTACTTATTCATCCTAAAAAGTAGTTATTAATAATACTTTTTATATACAATGTTCTTTCATTTATGATCATCATTTCCAGTTTGGCCAAATCTCCAAGGTTGTTCCTTGAGTTTACACCAGAGGGAGTCTTTTTCAAGTCTGCTTTTATTCCTATCCTGAATAGTATAAATTGTTTCTCTTCCATATGGTTGCATTATAAGTTTAAATGAAAACCTTCATTTCTATCAAATCTTTTTCATCATTCTGAAAAAGCCTTAAATGTAATCTTTTTCTGTAAGACAGTTTGTCTAATGTTTCAGTAATAATGAACTTTGTCTCCTTCAGTTTGCAAGCTTCCTAAATAATTTTATCTCTAGTTAAGTTCATTGAAAAAACTTAATTGGAATATCCCACAGTGTGTTCAGCTTTGTAAGTATGCACTTTGGAACTGCATATGAACATCCTGTGAAGTGGGTTGTGCTGAGAGAGGGTAACTGGCCCAAAGCTGGTTTTCATATATAAGATGGGACTAAAATTCACAGCCTCCTGGTTTCTAGCCTGACACCTAAACCACTACATCAGGTTGACTTCCCTTAAAATCTGCAAGGACATGGGAACAGTAACTACTTATCTTTTTGTTAATGAATTTTTTTCATCACCTCATGTATGTTGAATGAAATTCATGAACATCTTAGGATCTGGGGACAAAACATTTTATTTTTAGTAAAATAACTTTAAATATCTTCCTTCTTCATATACACATGCAGAAACCAGCAGTTTCAAGGCTTCAGCAGAAAACTACTATATAAACATATTTTAAGTAACAGCCCAAGGATATCAAGAAACCAGCCAAGGCCTCTTAATTTGGATAAGCAGGAGAAAAAAGTCTAGAACTGAAACCCTGGGACGCGTATGTGTATATTTCTTTTTTTTCTTTTTTTATTGAAAAGTTTTATAAAAGTTACAATATAAACCCCAAAACCAACCCACCCTAACCCCCCCTCTCCCTCCACTTCCCAGAGCTGAATACAGGGTTACAAATATAATAATCATAATCTAACTAACATTAACCAACTATATAAATAACCAAGTTCATAATGCGCTTTAACTCCCCTTTAACATAAATATAATAATAATTAAAACATAAACAAATTAGTATCCTAATTATTAAACGATAGAATATCCATATTGTTAAACAATACTAATACTAAAAGTAATAATAATATCATATAATTAAAACTAATAAAAATTTCACTATAATAAACTATTAATACTAATAATACTCTAAAATTTACGCATAGGCTAAATGGAACTTTTTAGTCCCATATTTATTCTGAATATAATCTATCCATCTTCTCCAAACCGAAATGTATCTTTCTTGTCAGTGATCCTTCAAATAGGCAGAAATCTTAGCCATTTCTGCTAAATTTGACACTTTAAGCGTCCATTCTTCTATGTATGTGTCTATTTCAAGCCTAGTGCTGCTTTAATTGTGAAGCCAATTAAGGCAGCCTTGGACCACGTCCTCTCCCGCCTCCAAATCTCAGTTGTGTTGTCTCTTCTCATCTAAACTTAATTCCTCCTCCTCCTCTTCTTCTCCATCCTCGCCTGCCTCGTACAGTCTCTCAGGGGCAACTTTTCCTGCTTCTTCGGCATGGCTACCTCCCATCAACTCCGATCTCATTCCTCCCCACGCCAGGCTTAAAGTAGTCAGGAGCCCCCACAGCTTGAACTGCACAACACAAGCCAGCTTGGCTTTGAGAGGCGTGCTCGCAATGATATCATAAAGGAGGCGGGTTTGGGGAGACAGTGCCGGGCATGCGTGCTTCCTCTCGCCTCAAAGACCCGCTGAAGGCTAGCGATTCGGATTGCTCGGTCCTGTTTCCGCAAGGGTACCATGATCAAGCGTTTTCTCCTTTCCGGCTTCCTCCACCTCCGCCGCCGCGGTGGCGGCTCCGTTTCGGTGAGTAGCGCTCCTCCACTTGTCCCTCCCCGCCGCCCCTTAATATTTCCACCCTCCTCGCCTAGAAACCCCGGCTGTCGAAGGGTTTCCTGGAGCGGCGCTTGTTCGACCTAATTCAACAGGGGGCGCTTTCGGCCAGGGGAGTCGTGGGAGGTGGTGGGGTTCAGCCCCTTTATATTTTATACTGTAGGGTAGGTAAGAATGAGGAGACTAAAGGGAAATTTTCAGCTAACAGATCTTCTATAACTGTGCCCGGTGATTATTTCAAATGAACTCTGGAACGCTTTTTATTGTGAAATAGCCTGTTGCAAGGATCATCTCTCATGTTTGTATAAAAGCACAATCTTGCTTATTGCAATGCCTTTCTCAATAGCGGGGTTTTTTTTTTCTTGTGTTCTTCAGAAATTTCCTGAGTACGGAGGGAGGCCATTATTTCACCAAAACAGAGAATCAAAAGCACCTGGTCTCTGACAAAAATGTTAATGAGAAAAAAAGAGATGCAGCAACTCATTTCATATAGTTGCTTCCCTCTCTCCCCTCCCCTTTTTCTTTATTTCCTTCCTTCCTCCCTCCCTCCCTCCGTATATATAATATATATATATAATACATACACACACATATATACACATGCTGTCCATCTCACTATGCAAAGTAACTCTGGGCAATTATTTAGTTGATATCTCTATCACATATGTGGCAAGATAATCTTTATTGAACTCTGAGTGTTAAAAGTTTCATATTTGGATAGTTTTTTAAAAAAATAGGATTGCAGATTAAGGCTATCATTCTCATTTTCAAAAGTGAGTGTTCTGAGGCTGTTTCCCAACAGTTCATAGCATCATCCCAACCATCAGTGAAATAAAAGGTATAAAGCCTTTTCTTAATACTGTTGTTTTGGCACAACTCTAGAGAGCATTCTGAATCCCATGTAAGAAAATGACACAGTGAATCCCACAGTGTCCCTATTTTCTAATGTCATTTGGCCTTTATATAAAAAAAATCCCATATCTTTTCATTCAGAATTTGAACATCTCTGAAAAAAGCGAGTTTACAGTTCCCTCACTTCTATTTATTAAGAGTTTCAAAACTGGGAGACATTTGGCCATTTTTCTGTTTCTTAGCCCTTCTGCTTGCTTTCTCCTCACATACTCTTCACCAGAGTTGCTCCAGTAGTAAGATAGGTGGCATATAAATTTAATAAAGAGAAAATATTCTGTTCTAAACAGAAGAAAATCTAAGCCTGAACTGTTATAGCAGGAGGTAAGAAGGTTGTTCCAAAAATGGATCTACTGCTAACAAAATCATTCATTGATTCTGAACTTTCATGAAAAGCTGGTAACGGTTGAGCCCCAAACAGCTGAATTTAAGATTTGAATCTAAAGCAGTGATCCAAATACAAATTACACAAGGAATCCCATGATTCTCAATATCTTTAGCGACTGTAGATTTTTTTCAAATATCATACTCAACACTATTGGGTGCAGTATGCATTTAAAAAGCTATCCTTATACTTGACAGTAAACTCAGATTTATCACTGGTAAGAGCATCTCTTCAAAATGGTAGGTGGGAAGTTTAGCAATCTCACTGCACTAGTTTGAAATGTGAATTTAGATCTTGGACCTGCAGTGATACTGAAGCTCTAAAGACTGTAGCCTGGCGAAAAGTTGCTAAAGGTGCTTTAGACAATCAAAAATACGAGTAATTATTTAATATCCTATTTCAGGGGCAGGCAACCTTGTTGGCTCTTTTATGACTCGTGGACTTCAACTCCCAGAATTCCTGAGCCAGCATGGCTGGCTCAAGAATTCTGGGAATTGAAGTCCATGAGTCATAAAAGAGCCAAGGTTGCCTACCCCTGTCCTATGCAAATGGAACATTCTCTTCTGCTCTGTATTTTAGTTTCTTCCTCTCAGTGTATCAGGAAACTTATGGGGGAGATCCCAAAGTGTAGCACTGAATCATCCAAAGAATACAGAAGGAGAAAATATTACTAAGGCAATTGGACGCTATCCAATACCCAAGAAGACGGATTTGCCATATGATATAGTAGAGCTCATGGAGGAAATGGAAGTAAAGGTAAAAAATACTTTATTGGGACAATCCTGCCTATGCTAGTTTCCTTATTTTGTGACTATATTTCCTATCTTATTAACATTTTTCCCCCTTTGGCTCTGATACCTTCTGATGGCTGTTTTTGTCCATTGTATCAGTGAAAGAGGCATCTGAAGTGAAGGATGTCTTTAGCAGAACATGAAAATATAAAACATTTCTGATTAAACATTGTCTGGATTGGGTACTCTAAGCATTGCTGAGTTAAATGATATGCCTTGGATTAGATCCTTGGATGATACTGTGTGCCTGCAAAGCCATCAAGCCATCAATCAGACTTCTTCAAGAACTTAATATACTATGTATCTCCTGTTCTTCTCACTTTCTAGAACTATAAAAGCCACCAGGATGACTGAGCATCGGTTGAACTACATTGGATCTCAGGGCTATTGTTTGGAAGAAATAATATTTGAGAAACTTTTTTAAAAAATCTGATTGATAGCAGATAATTTTATTACTCCATGTAGCTAAGTGTAGTCTTCTCTAGTTAATGTGGTGCTCTAGATCAGACATCTCAAACTCGCAACGTCGCGCGACATATCGGAGCCTTTTTCCCATTGCCAACAATGGGGCAGGCACGGTTTCCTCTTGACGCGTCCGGCCCATGGGCCGGCAGTTTACACCCCTGCTCTAGAAGATTCTTGCCTGCTAGTGACCTTTCAATTGGAAAGGAACAAGACTTGAGAACCAGAGTTCTCCTTGTAGAAAAGTATATATTTTCCCATTGACCCATTATTATTCCCCATTAAAATCACTCTTTAATACTGCACTACAGGTAATCCTTGAATAAACCATTCATTTAGCGACCATTCAAAATTACAATGGCGCTGAGAAAAATTACTTATGACCTGTCCTCATACTTACAACAGCCGCAGCACCCCTAGAATCACATGATCAAAATTTGGGCGCTTGGCAACAGCCATGTAGTTATGCTGGTTGCAGTAATACAGGGTCATGTGATCGCTATTTCCTAATCTTCCCAACCAGCTTCCGGCATACAAGTGGGGGGTTTGTTTGATTTGTTTAATGAGCATGTGAGTCACGTAATAACAGCAGTAATTTGCTTAAAAAGGTTGTAAAATAGGTCACGATTCACTTAACAGCCATGTTGCTTAGCAACAGAAATTCTGGTCCCAGCTGTCGTAAGTTGCGGACCACCTGTACATAATTCAAACTAATTCCACCTTGTAACTACAGCATCTGTGAATTGAAATAATACAGATGTTGGATAGACTCTTACATAAGTGATGTCTGACTACTTTTTTTCTTAATTCTCAGACTGGGTTTTTGCCCAACGTGTTTAAGGTTATGGCTCATCGGCCAGCAGAATTTAGGGCATTCTTTGCCTATTACAATGCCATCATGAACAAAGAGACAGGTAAGAATACCCACCTTGCACTGATTGATAGAAACTTTTTCCTGGTAAGAATCTCTTAAATCATTTTGTTGCATTTAGTATTCCAATAAATATAGGTCCAATTTAAGAATTGGCTCAAACTTTCCTTGGCTATATAACAGGAATCGGCCAATTACAATAATATCCATTAGCTTTTATATCCCTGAAGAATCCCTAATTTGCAATCAGAAAGTTACTACGGACCATTGTTATATCAAACATGGTTTTCCAGTAATTCTTGGAATAAGAATGACGATGCCTTTGAAAGGCTTCAGTGAAAATAAAAGGCTTCATAGAATTTCACAATATACAGCAAGGAATGGTTTATTTATTTTAAAAGCTAGCTCTTAAAATGTGAATATATTTGTGCAGATTACTGCAGTAGTGATTCAATTGTTGGTGCATTAAAAAAATGTAGTTTTAGTCCTGATTATTTGAGATCCAAAATTATTTCTTGTATGCATTGGTTGTGCAGATTATGAACTGTGTTGCAAGATCTTTATGAGTGTAGCGTAGTAGCTATTAGAATTCAGTATATATTTGGATATTTGTTTTTCCTAGCTGAATAATAAAAAGCGATCAGTCTCATTTCAAGGGCCTTATTTGCCAGGGCCTCCTTAGCAGAAGATAACAGTATTTAAATATAGAAAGTTTAACTTCTGTTTGAAGTTGCTTGCCTGCAGTGACATGATAACACATCAGGCATGGATTGAAATTGTCAAGCTAAGGCAGGATAATTCCTAGTAATTTAAACTCATAATACTTGCTTTATGGACTAAGGCAGCTATAGAAATAAGATTCATCTTTCTCTCATAGGAAACCTAAGCAAGGCTGACAAAGAACTCATTATTGTGGCTACCAGTATTGTCAACCACTGTCCCTACTGTGTAATTGCACATAGTGCCTTACATCGCATCTACTCCAAGAAACTAACTTTGGCAGATCAGGTCAGACCCAAGTTTATTTTCCTTTCTGTGTGGGTTTGATTTCTGTTCTGTTTTAAATAGTACATGTACATACGCATGATCAAATACATACAGCACCTTGGAATCTATGTGAGAAAAGTTGGGAAAACTGGAAGAAATGAGTGAAAGTAACTTCTAAGTCCAGGAGCCAGTTTTCCAAAGTGTATATCTCATGACTGTGTTATTCTTAGCAGTTTTGTTCTTCATTGAATTCCATTCTGGGAATATGGTTGCAAAAAGTTTAAGTAGCACCTGTATTAAATTGCAACTGAAAGAAAAATTTGAAAGCTATTTAAAGAAGGCCGAGTAACAATTACAGATGAGTTCTTCTTATGTTAATCTAAATGAGATTCTGATAAAATAAAAGTAAAGTAAATTCATCCATTTCTAAAGATTGCAGTGCGGAAGCTAACTCAGCCCTCCAACCTGCTTTGGTTATTATCAAAAAGATTATATTGGCAGATGCTACTAATCACACTATCTTCCTTTGAAAGTGAAAAATATCCTGCACAGGCCAGGATACCCTCAGATGTTGTAACTGTTTTATAATTGTTTTTAATTTAACTGTAATATTGTTCACCACCCAAACTCAGTTGTTGGGATGGGCAACTTGATTTAGTAAAAAAAATAAATATGTGCAGAAATTTTAAAAAATCTTTTATCTGGTTACACTGTTATGAATATCCAGTGTTGCATTATAGTTTGCATTCATAAATATTCCTCGATCTTTGTTCTAAAGATTCTGATTTCTTTGACACAAGCTGATCTGAGTGTGCATGTTAAAAGATCTCACATTTAATCCTAAATGAACCCAAATGGAAGTTTGTAATTTCTGGTGGCTTTGTTTTTGTTTAGGTGGCTGTGAATTGGAAGTTGGCCGATCTAAATGATCGGGAAATGGCCATACTTGACTTTGCCCTTGCTATCTGCAGAGCAGATAACATAACAGAAGAGCACTTTCAGAAGCTGGAGGCACATGGATTTGACCGAGAAGATGCCTGGGACATAGGCTCCATTTCAGCCTTTTTTGCCATGTCCAATCGCCTGGCTCACTTAATAGATCTGCATCCCAACCCAGAGTTCTATATCATGGGAAGAGTACCAAGAGAGAAAAAGACCAGTTCCTCCTAATAAAACTTGTTGATATCCTAATCTGTGCAAACACTTAAGGTCAAGCTTGACTAATTACTGAGTGAAAGTTATCAAATTAAAGTGGACCAGTTTTAGACGCAGTGAAAAGAGAATCAAACTTTACTTTTGATTGTACTGTACTTCTGAAATGATTTCACGTAGATGTCAATTGGAATGAGTTTCTTGAAAAGAGAAAAGTGAGATCAGATACTTGTAGTTCAGTTTCTTTTGATCATAATTAAAGATATGATTAGAAGTAAGAACCTCATATATTTTATTTCTGTATAGCTAACTAAATCTCTACTGTAATAAGACTTTTTATTCAAACATTGGAACAGACAAATAAGCTGGGTTTACATTCTCATTTCCTCTATAAAGTACTGGCAAGCATGATTGCTTCCTAAAGGCTTAAGTTTTTGCACTGGATCAGGACTCTTTTTTATTATTTTAATGAGAATGTAATTCTCTTTCTTCTCCCTGGATTTAACAATGCTTTCATACATTTGTGAATTTCAGCTTTTTTATCTTTTGATTAAAAAAGGTCACACAAACATAACTGAAAAATGAAAGGTATTAAACAGTTACAATAAATTATTATATGTTTTTGCTATTTTTTGCTATTTTATGTATTTATTGTATTTATTTTGCTATTGTTTTTGCTATTGCTCTTTGTAAATTGTCTTAAATTATAATGATGTAATAGCTTTCCTGATGCCGCTATATCAGAGCTATGTTAAATATTTCTGCAAGCATGTTAGATTTTCAAGTAGAGATGAAAAAGCAGTCACAGTGCTTTTTTTTTAATTGAAGCAATACATTGTTCAAGACTGATATGCATTGAAAGTCTTGCTGTAAACATATCTCCTTTAATCCCAATGTTTGAAAGCTCATTTTATTAGCTTGGTGAGTTGGGTCTGTAATATTTGCCCATTATAATAAGATAAGGGTAACTATAGTGAATCTGTGTCCAAAATGTATCCTATTCATTCCAAATCTAATTTTAATACTCATCAAATATCACTCAGATATTTTCTTCTCTGCATAGATGAGAAGTTATTTAATCTGGAAATTTAGAAACAAAAAGCATGAATATACTCTATGCTTATTTCATTGATTCAGTCCTATAGTGTTGCAGGCTGCCATGACCTATTTTTATCAATAATTCCATAGTGCTAGATAAAATAGGGATCCAATACAAAGCAAAATTAGTGGCCTAGAAAGCTTACTGACCCATTTTTCAGAATCGTTAATTGGTCTTATTAATTCATCAAGCTATTACTGTATCACTAATTCCTCAAAAACCAACCATGAAATCCCACAAACATCAGAAAAATAATGAGCCATAATGCTTTTTACAAATGTGTATGGGAATATACATCTGAGACAAATGGAAGTTTTAATGCAGGATGTAATCAGGTACAATAAGTACAGATCTACCAAAAACAGCCTCTGATGATTGCCTAGAGTAGACATTTCATTGAGCAGAGGGTACCCATATTCATGGTCTGTTTAAATAGCCGAGGACACCATATATTAATTTAATCTTGGTTTTTGAATCAAGGACAAGCACTTCATGTTTTAGGAAGTTTTTGGACAACAGCTTTACTTTCTGAAAATCCCATATCTAAAGATCTAAGGAACCTGGAGGCTGAAAAACAATGCATACTGCATACCCAAGTGATTTGTTTGTTTATAGGCCCTCCACATATATTTGTGGCAATCAGCATACTTTCTTTAGCCTCAGCTGGAAAGTTTGACAACTTAGTAGTAGCAGTAATAGTAGTATATGGAGTAGTTACATTAGCCAGGAGACCACAATTCAATTGCAGAATAATAGTTTGGTTGCCAATTTACCAGCTCTGTTGTAGTACATGCTCGCGTGCTTCCCAAGGTGTACCAAAGGAGGGCAAGCTGGCTTTGCACCAGAAAGAAAGACCAGTGGCACTTCCTAGGCTCCCTCTCTTACCCGGAACCACTTTGTAAACAGGCGCCATAACCAGGAAGTTCAGAGCCAGCAGGAATCTGATTGCCTGCATGGAGCACCAACTTATCTCCTTACCTGTTTAAGTGGTACCTGTTTATCTACTTGTATAAAACATGCTTTCAAACGGTTAGGTGGACAGAAACTGAGGCGAGTGACGGGAGCTCACCATGTCACACAGTTCTAGGACTCAATCTGCTACAGCAGACACCATCTCCAGTGTCATTAAGCCACTCACATTTCTCCTACTTGTTCTAGTTTTTGCTATGTACATATAACTTGCAATCATTCACTCTGTTTTCTCTCTAAGTAACAACTTGATCTTTGAGTCATAATTTTCAACTCCATATTCCTCACTGCAAAGCAGCCTAACTTTTGCTGCAAGTCAGCTAAGTTTTCAGCCAACAACCTGGCATCATCTATTTTCCAAAAGCACATAGGAGTGTTTGTGAAAAAGAAAATGTATATTCTTTCAACCTGAAATAAACATGTCTCTCAAATATTCTGCTCAACCTTTCCAGGTGGACTGTGGTTCAGCAGAACCAACACTCAGAAGAATTTGAATGGGATATGACAGGTACAGCATGCTTCTCCCTGATTCCTTTAAAGGAAGTCTTGAAACCAAGAATATAGGCTATGGAACTGATCAATTTATTGAGGACTTTTTTCCTGATCTCCCAGTGATCACTGTTGTGCACTGTCCCTATTGTTGCTGATGTCTCTAGCTTCCAATGAACATTGAACTCTAGCTTCCTCCTACATTCCAAGTCATTATCTTCCTTATATCATGGCCATTGCCAGATAGACCCATGGATACTGACTTTGTCTTCCATTATGCTTTTTTTATTAAGATAGGCTAGTAGCTTCATCCCTAACTCATACTTGTGCCACACAGTATTCCTTGGTAAGTGTAAGTATGGCTGCAATTCCTTCTGGCATATTTATAATGTCACAAGCCCAGTTTTTATGCCAAGCATTCTCAGATTATTTTGTGAAAGGCTGGATGTCTACTCTAGACAGATTAAGCAACAGGACAACATATTGCTGGCTTCCTCTCCAGCACCAGTGATGTTACTTGGTTGAGTAATGAAACATCTTCAAGAAAACAACCAGTTTAGAGAGCATCAAGGACCCCACCGTTCAACCCTGAGGCACAACTATTCTCTCCTATTGGTTCTTCCCACCAATTTGACAGACACGCAGGGGTAGACAAGACATTAATTTGCATTTGGATTTTTGAGACTGACGGAACCCTGCTAGCAACCCTGCATCTCTGAGCACAAACCCTGCTGAAAGCAGGCATTCATTCTACACAACTCCTCTGGAAAATTACACTGTAGTCCTGACATTTTTGAAATGAAATCAGAGGCATTAAGACGACCTCGCTTTCCAAATGCTCAGCCGCCCAGAAAGACCGCGTTTCGCGAGGGAGGAAGGGGGAGAGCCATTTGGGCGGCCGCTTCGAGGCAACTTCGAGTTTGCGCCCGGCGCGCTTTCTTCGGTGCTCACCGCACCGGAAGTGGCGGGGAGCCGAGGGCCGGGTGGGGGGAATGGTGGTGCTGCTGCTTGTCGTGGCGGCGGGACCGGGCTCGGGATGAGCTGGAAGGTGCGGTGGGGCCCTACCCCAGAGCGGTCGCCCCCGGGCGACGGCGACCAGTCGCCGCCCCCTTCGAGCTCACCACCCCGGGCGGTGTCACCGAAGTCACCCCCGGCCTCCTTTTCTTCCACCGCCCCAGTCACGACCCCAGGCGGGGGGCTCTTCGCCTGGGTGCGGGAACGGAGCCAGGGCCATGCCCCGGCGACGCACCTCGGCCGCTCCCTGTGCAAGGCCCGGTACTGCTCCGAGATACCACGATAAGTTGGGCGGCTAAGCCACAGGGGGTAGTGGGCGTGGGTGCCGCGACAAAAGTTGGACCTCATGAGGGGACCGCCCATTCTGCTTCCCTTCCCAACGGGCCTCGGGCTTCTTCCCAGCGAAAACCCACAGAGCCGTTTCTCGTTTGTGTGGCTGCTTGCACATCGTAGGGTGCGAGGGATCTCAGTTTAGTTGCGGGTTTCGCAGCACGTTGTGCAGTTTTAACTGCAGGTGCATTGGTTGAATTGTGTCCACGCTTGCAAGGAAGAATTGTCCATTTTTATTCCTATACTTGGTTGTTTTTTTTCCTGGATTTAGTACATATAATAGATGTTGCATCTTTTTTCCCACCCCGTGGGTGTTGTTTCTACATAAAGTTATGAGGAAATACTGTGATGGGGCAAGCAACTGCACAAGACTAGTGAAGTGTTTGCAAATAGGGAAATAGGAGTAGCAACAAATAAATGAGAATGGATGTGTCACGTATCAGTCAGAAGCCTTTGGTGCAATGAGAAAAATATGTGGTTTATGTAGTTTATATCAAATCTCTCAAAATCATTAGAGCAGTTCCATTAATCTTCCCAAAATCATTAGAGCAGTTCCATTAATCTTCCGTCAACTAATGTTAATTTGTTGTGGTTTACAGCTTTGAGAGCTTTATGCAACGAAATTTCATTTTGAGGTATGCCGATTGGTGTACATTCAAAGTGACAATAAAGTAGTAGTTGTTGTTGTTGTTATTATTATTATTATTATTATTATTATTAAAGCTGTCACCTATAAACAGAAGCTTTTGCACCTTTTTATGTATGGTAGCTCTGTTTCCTATCCTTAAGTTCTTTTTAAAGATGAATTTATGATTTAAATAGCATGTGCAAAGCTGAAGTGTATAACAAAAGGTCCACATTTTTAAAAGAAATATTCATGGCACTCATCATACTTGATAGGAATATTGCATTGTGCTGCTCCAAGGGAAAACAGCAACAATTTTTGTTGTACTAAATTTATTTTAAGATCAAAGGAAACTAAAGTAGGAAAAGTGTAACTTCCAAATAATGATTTGTTGGCAATGGTGGTGCCTTTTAGTCAGTTTTTGACTCCTGATAACTGCCTGGAGAAGTCTTTGCAATTTTATTGGCAAGATTTCAGAAGTGATTTGCTATTGCTATTGAAAGTATAATTTCTTCACAATCTCTGCTGCAAAAACAAATGACAGGAGAAGTAAGTATTCAGGTAGTCCTCAACATAAAGCAGTACATTTAGTGACCGTTTGAAGTTACAACAGCACTGAAAAAAGTGACTTATGACCATTTTTCACACTTAATGACAGTTGCAGCATCCCCATGGTCAAGTGATCAAAATTCAGATGCTTGGCAACTGACTCATAATTAAGATGGTTGCGGTGTCCCGGAGTCATGTGATCCCCTTTTGCATCATTCTGACAAGTAAAGTTAATGGGGAAGCCAAGTTCACTTAACAACCGAGTTACTAACTTAACAACTGCAGTTATTTGCTTAACAATTGTGGCAAGAAAGGTTGTAAAATGGGGCAAAATTCACTTAACAAATGTCTTGAATAGCAACAGAAATTTTGGGTTCAATTGTGGTCATAAGATAAGGACTATCAGCATTAAAGAATGTAAACTGGTGTTGTAGAATATAGCTTGGTTTAGCATAGCATGAAATCTATTTCTCAGAGAGCCTCATTATTTAAAATACTGTAACAAGTTAGTCCCAAATTACTTTTTCATGTATGTCCAGATTGATTAATACC